CAGAAAATACGTTTTTATGGAAGTTATGAATTTAATTGCCATGCATGAAATCATTGAGATATTTAGTTTGATTACTGATGCATATATATGTGAATTGACGCGGTGGACGTTCATGTGAGTTTATTTATATTTCAGCTGAGTTATATATGTGAATTGCCTTGAAAGCTCATAACCTGCACCTAGGTGATAGTGCTTATATTGTTATTCACCACACCGCACGCTCGTCTTGGATCCAAGTAGGTGGATGTCGTGCAGACCATGTAAGGGTTCCGACATGCTAGTTGTACAGATCACTAGATGTGATTCCAACTAGTGGGTGACCTTAGTTATGCGCGCCGATGATTGATGAGAGAAGCACTAGAGCGTATTTATACACCTGTCATCGTACAGACTACTATATGTAGTTCCGAGTGACGTGCAGAGTTGAACCGTACAGGTCACCGAGGTGACTCCGGTTGGATTGGATGTTGAGCTTTAGAATCAGCCGTACAGGACCATTGTAGGGTCTCCGGTTGATTTATTATTCCACCTGATTGATATTGATGCATTCTGATTATATTTTGGACATGGCATATCATTTCTGAGATATTATGATGATGGATATGTGCTGAGTTATGATGTGGCGTATATATATATGTATAAATACTATTTTCTGGGAAAGTATACAGGTTTTTACGGTGAGGGGATTAGAATTGTTTTAATGAAATGTTTTGAAAAACTCTTTGGTTTTACTGACCCACTCATTTTGTTTTGCGCCCCTCCAGGTTCTAGTTAGCAGTTGGTGGCTCTCGAGGTCTTTTTCCGGCATTCTGACAGACTCTTGTCATGTAGGACTCACCTGAGGGTGATGTATTTTTATTTTAGTCCTACTTGACTGCATTTAAACCTATGCTCTGAATTCACTTGTTTGCTTTATAACTAGTCCGGATATTTTAGTAGGTTGTTCTGTTAGAGTTTGGTTTGAATTCCTGCTTATGTATGTTGTTGTTTCGCTTCCGTGTCGCACTTATGGTTACGTCACGCTCACGTGACGGCCAGCACACCTGGATCATCTGGATCAGGGTGTGTCATAGTGTCTCTAATATTAGATTGGAACAAATAAACAGAGAAAAAAAGATTTAGCGTCAATTAATCTAATACTTAGAAATAAATTAACTCACATCAGAAAATTTTGATTATTACATTCGAAATTTGCGCTACTACTAAACACATCGATATTGTCTTTACCTGCGGTTTCCTGCCTGTACAACATGGCATGCGTGTTGATTTTTCAACATTAACTGTTTCTCGTCAATATCACTTGTATTAAAAAATATAAATTTACTTAAGAAATGGGAAAAAAGTGCAAAGTGATAGCCAACTGGATTCGACCGTGACCTAAGCAGTAAGCGTCAGTACCAGATACATAAAACCTGTTGAATATTTAATGACACTTGGACTAGGAAGAGCACGACAAAAAAGCACTCGCTACTTTCTCACCAGTTTCTCTTCTTCCCTTTCTCTGTTCAACTTCTTTCCCTCTGCCTCCTTCCTCCCTTTAAAAGCTCTCAAAATCTTATTGCTTTTGATTAATCCCTTCAGCATCCAATATTTCTGCTAACCTTTCTCTCTGATCACATCGTTTTCTGATCTGGGTATTCTTTACTTGTTTCTTCGGATCAAAGTTTTCGATTTTAATTGGATATTTCTGCTTCATCACTGTTGGAAAACCATTCATACAAAAAACAACCCTGTTTTGGTTGATGGGTTTTTGTTAGTTTCTTGATTGGTGTAATAATCAGATTCTGAGAAATGGATTTTTGTGAATGAGATGCAGCAAGTGGATATTTTCTTTCGGGTAAGCTCTTCCGTCTTCTCTCTTCTCCATGTTGCACATATATATGTATGTGTATATATATATATATATATTTTTTTTTTTTATTTTTTTTTTCTCATATGAATACTTTTGCGTTGTTATGTGAAAATAAATGGTAGAGAAAAAAAAAATTGCTTTTGATATCGTGGATTTCTAATAGTTTGAGACCTGAAAATTTTGAAAGTGAAAATTTTGAAGATGGGTGGAATTAGTTCATCATAATCTGAAACTGAAAGCATAAGTCCTAAGGTTCAAATCTACGGATCCTTTCTTGCATATTTTTTTCTGCAGCCAAAGTTGGGATTAGGATTTGGATTGTTAAACTTAAGATTGAAGCCAGAATGTTTGCTTTGCCATTGGTTTTTGATCCAAAAAGGATTGGTCTTTCTTGTTGATCTGCAGTTACTAGTAAATAAGTTGTTCGGGTTGAATTTCACAACGGGTTTAGCTGTTTTGTGATACATAACTACCGTTTCCTAGTGTTTCCGTTTATTTCCCTTTCGATTTGTCTATACTAAGATGATTAAACTGAGTCAGTACAGTCGCTCGATGTTGGAACCTGTTGGCAGGATCGAGATACATTTTTGGTTTTGGATATTTGAAATTATCGAGATCAAGGATTTGATCCTGCTTTTTTCCTTTCTTCTTAATTGAATTCAAGAGAAACCAAAGAGAGTGCTAGGAATTAAGCGGTCGCTGATTTAAATGGCCGACTTGAAGTTTCTGATTTTGTTTGTAGTTCCTTATGATGTTAGTAAAGGTTTGGGAAATGTCCTGTCCCTTAAAGGTGTCAGTTTTGACTCAGTTTTTTTTTTTTTATATCTAAACTGGTTCATTATTAACTTTATCATTGGCGGATTTGCTTCAGTCGTCTTCTGCTTGTGGATAGCTTATATTTGCTTTCTGTCAGACAAACTTTGCAGGTTGATAGGTGGAGTTCATTCAGCCAGAGTGTAGTTTTTGCTTCTAAAATCATCGGCTTGCATTTGCAGAAATTCCTTTAGTTTGGAAATTTCATCACAAGGTTTTTTTTGCTATGGGTAGAGGGAGAGGAAAAGCAAAGAAACAAAATGTTATTGCTGCTCGTGAGGATACTGGAAGTGGTGAAGAGGAAAGGATTCTACCAAGCAGGAGAAGAGGAAGGCCACAAAAGACATTGAAGGACGATATTGTAGAAGGAGAAGAGGCTCTGAAGACAGAAGATGGCGAGGATGCAAAAAGTCATGTTTCGAGCAAAGACATGAAAGGCCAATCTGCCATAGAGAATGGAAGGAAAAGGAAGAGGTCAGCTCAGGTCAAAGAAACTGTAAAATCAGTCAAAGAGGATAAAATGATTGAAACAAAATCAACTCTCGATGACCCGAAAAAGTCTGTTGGATTCCGACAAAATGGGAGTAGGCGGAAAAATAAGCCACACCGAGCTGCTGAAGCTGGTGTTGAGTGCCAATGAGTTCGGTTCTGCTGTTGTGATGGCCGCACACCTTCTTTGCTCACCTCCTTGTTGGTTCACATATCATTCCTTATACTGCCTTCGTTATATGTTTTTCTGAGTTCCTTCTTTGCTAGCGGATGATTTTGATTGTGAGATTCCGATAACAATGTTTGTTTGTTCCATGCTTTTTGCTTCTGTTACTGGCCAGAGACATGCTTTATGTTAGCTGTAAAAAGAATATCTCTGACCAACTTCATTTTTTGAAATTAGATGAAATGCTTTTGGTTTTTTGCGTATATTCCTTTTTTAGCAGATGTTCAATGTTGACACTTGTCGCAATTGATAGCTGAGGATACTCAAATACTGAACAAAGGAAAATCAGGTGAGTTTAAGGGTTAACAGATTTTATTTTAATTTTATTAAGTCTATTTATTATATGTTCCCGTTAAGTCATGGATATCGTTCCCTTGTAGCTTGATAACATTGTCATAGCTATGTGAATATATGTTGTTGCCCCTTTTACTTATCGCAGAGTAAAAATTGCAGGTTGCTTAGACAATTGTTTGTTTTCTTCCGGCATGCTTTATGGTCCTTGATAAATTGTTCTCATATTCTCAAACACGTGCTCGCACACACTTGTACACATTCTGATATGCTGGCAAACAACGAAAAGCAACATTTTCAAAGTAGAAGGGTTCTATGCTTCTCCTCTCTGGTTCCTATTTCTGGAATATATTGGTTGAGATGCCAAAATGGAATTGTTATCCACAATCCCTTCGAAGTTAAGGCAATGGTGATAATATTATACTCTGAGTCTGTACAGAGGAGGAAAACATGGTATGCCAAAGACTCAAAACTTCAACCTTAAGCAACGAATAGTGTAGTCGGAATTGTATGTTTATTATGTTATCTTTAAGTCAAGTCATTTGTCAACAAGCCAAGTTAGCCAAACTGAAATCAGTGCCTTCTGATTGTATGAAGAAATTTACAAGAAACATATTGATCTAAACTATAGCATTTTTGTCTTCTTGCAACTTTGGCATACACAACCACGGATCTGCCCGAAGTCTAAGCGTTGGTCGTTGAACGGCCTAGAGACCAATGAAAGATGAATTGGCCTTCAGGTAGGAGTCAGTAGTCTAAACCAGTATCATGGATGACAATTATAAATTCTCAGATGAGGATGGAAGTTTAGCAGTGTTGTATCACTCCATTTTTCATGCCATTTGTTTCCTAGACCAAATGCATTTCTCTTTACTTTGAGATGGGGAGTTTTTCGGGGTGTATACTAATCGATAGGATCCCATTGGTAAGTGCAACAAGATCTTGTACATTGGAACCCATGGCTGGGACCCGAATCATGGAATCTTCTTTACCTCGTCCTCGGCCTCGACTTCGTCCATGGTTGTTGACACCCCCATGTCGGGAACTCCTTTGGGCACAACCACCTTTTGGTTTTTAAAGATTTAGATGCGACTCCAAAGCTTGCTCTAGTTGTTTGTTTTGTTGCAGTTTGTTTTATTGTTCTGTATGTCTGATCTCATCGTAAAAATCAAATAAATATATACACATACACACATGTAATCTGAATAATCTTGGCATGCATGTAACTAAAATTAATTAAACATAATACAAATTCATTTATAATCAATCCGAATATAATAAATTCAACTATTACTAGTACAAATTAATTCACTACTTTTATATTCTTAATCAAACGACCTGAGGAATTTTGTCCTTCTGCATTTGAGATCCATGTAAACGACGACGGTAGAAGAAATATGAAACCACAAACCCTAAAACAACAAGACCGGTAACAGCCGACCCAATCATCAAAAGATCAAGAATTGGAGCCATCCTCTGGGTTGAGCTTGGTGGCATGGCTTCAAAAGGAGAACCGGATGGTGATGAAGGATGAGGAGAGGGCCTTGGACTTGAGATTGGGTTTTCTAGTTCAGCAGCATTGACCTTGATTTTAATCTTTTGCCCGGCTTCACAGTGACCCGGTTCACCGCAAATAACATAGTAGGTGCCTGGTTTATTAAAAGTTAAGGTGGTCAAGCCACCGTAATCAGATAGGGCAAGTGATGGTGAAGTGCAATGGTCATAGTCTACTTCTTCAGTTACTAACGTCACAAAATCGTCTTCATGTTTGTAATTAAATATGAATTCATCGCCAACATGAATTAATTTTGACGAAGCCCACTCATTGTAATCCGACCCGCGCACACTAGAAGCCATCCTTCATACGCGCCAACGTATAACAGTAGCGGAACAAGCAACCGAAGCAAACCCATCATGACCGATGCAACTCATGGCACATGTTTCTCTCAGAGCATGACTAAACCAAGATAAGCAAGTAGTAGAACAAATAGAACAAGGGTAATAAAAACACGATTTGGACTGGGAAAGGTGAGAGAGAAAGTGTTGAACAATAAAGGTGTATGATGTTAAATAAGTTTATAGTGCCAATGTTAGGAAGTGGCTGAGATCTCACCATGTAAGAGAGAGGCAATTAATTATAATGATAGCTGTGTTTTAGAAACAGTGTCCTACCGAAAGGGAAATGGATTTCCAAATCCATATTAGAAAAGGCTTCCAAATTCCAACACCGCTAAGGAAAATTAATATAAAAAAAAAAAATAATAGAAGTAAATATATACTAGGAAATATAGAATTCCTTTTTACTGTTGGATTCCAGTTTTCTGGGTAATAACCGAACGCCACGGCCTCCTTCCCATATCTTCCCCTATCTAGGTAAATGCGGCCAACCTGGTGGACCCCCGGCTCCAATTCCTTTCCTTTTTTTGTTTCCTTTTCTATAGTTGGAATCAGGTTTATAATCCTTGTCTTTTTGTATTAATTCTTGTACACCAAGTAACTTTGTTTGTCTGAAACCCTATGAATATTTAACTCAATACCACCAAACCCTAGATATCTAAATCGTCCACAGTAGGAAAATAGTGGAAGAACATTGTAGGAATAGGGATGCTGTGACGGAGGAGATGGTGGATGTTTATGGCAGTGAGGCCCCTACCGAAAATGTTCAGCTAAAGAGTTGAATGCATAAATATATGTTATATTATTCTTGTATCGATGACTGCTTAAGTTGAAAGGCTAGCATAGCATTGCGATACTGGTGTTAACTGCCGCGATTCCTTTACATTTCGTCATTTTGCATCTTGGGTGCTGATATGTATAATCTTATGGTACAATTAAGAAGATAATACAGTCTCAATTAAGAAGATAATACAGTCTTAAGGCCAAAGAAACTATAAATCAGTCGGAGGATTAAATGACTGAAGCAATATCGAGTCTTGATGACCCGAAAAAGTCCTGGATTCCAACATATTGGGAGTAGGCGTAAAAACAACCATCGCCGAGCTGCTGAAGACTTACAGCAGGAGAAAGACCTCTAGCCCTGAAGTCTTAAATAGGGATATGGCCTTTGTGGTGCATTACAAGTCTTTAAATGGATTTTGTTTCACATTCGTTGAAAGTGAACTAAAGATATTGCCCTTGTAATGCATTTCAACGTATAATTTTGTCCTCTCTAACAGAAAATTTAACACCTATTACTTCTTATGAATATGTGAACAGATTTGTTTGGTGTTGGCTTGTCTCGCGGTTGATAAATTAGGATACTCAAATACTCAACAAGGGAAAACCAGGTGAGTTCAAGGGCTACGGATGCCATTTTTTAGCTCACAATACTAACACTGTAATTACGGTTCCAATGCTAGAGTACTGATGTTTGCATGATGGAATGGTTAAAACATGAAACATATATCTTGAATCATTATGCAATAGTCATTCTCCTGATATGCTAACAGATGACATACTGCTAGCAATAATGATTATGTTGATCATACATACTATGTACATGCACGGAGGACATAATGGCACCTGCTTTGATAATCCAAATAGAGCTGCAGAAGCTTAGGCAGCGACTTTTGAAATACCATGCCGTATTCTTTTGTTAAGAACTCTTTAGATGGTTTATTCATGTGAACTGGAAACCGGAACCCTGATGTACAGGTTCCCAACTTAGGAGCCAACTGCAGTCTCTCTTCACCTCTCAGCCATTCTAGGAGCCAACTGCAGTCACCACAGCTTGTGGGTGTGCCGGGCTTTCAGTTTTGAATCCACCCCATCCCATCAGGTATTTGTCTATCTTTCTTCTTTGGTTTTATATATTGTGCTTTCAAACTACATATGCATCTATAGAAAAAAAAACCAAACCCTTGTACAAGTTCCCAATTTTTTTCTTCTCTTGCCAGTTATGGTTACAATTTTGATTAAATAAAAGAGAGTTGCAGAGGCTATTCCAATGGCTCAATAAAATAGAACAATATCTAATGGATAACTTCCGGAATGGACTTGACGGGAATGACAAAAGTATCTCCAAGATTCCCAGGTACAATCAATTTCAAGAAATAAAGACTTTGCATGAAGAAATTTTCAGCTCATCCTAGCCTGTAGAATCATCCATCAGGAACAAACTTTACTACCTCAACAATGTTTTGACCGAGTGCCAGATGCTAGCGAGAAAACATGGTTCAAACTCTCCAGAGGAGATACTCAACATAAACTGAATCAGGAGGGAGTTAAACAAGATCAAGAGGGAGCTCAAGGTTATAACAGATAAAAGAGATCATCCCATGGAAATATCGCTCCACAACCTAATAATGGCCAAGCAAGCTCACAGGACAGAGAGCTTTTGAGGTGGACTACTCGTCCAGTACATGCTTCCAATGTTTATGGATTTGTGTTAGTGTTTGACAGAGTTAATTCTAAGGAAGAAGAGAAGATGAATTGTTTTGGAAGAAAAACAGGGAGAGAAGGAACGTGGTTGTTTCTTCTTTTGCAAAGTCACAGAGGAATTACTTTGTTTTCATTAATTGCCTCTCTCTTACTCGCACACAATGTGCAAGGAGAGATATAAAGCTTTTACAAAACTAAGCTGGATCAATACAAATAAAATAGATCTCAGCCACTCATTTAGCTAATAGCTAAGATCATCACACATGGCACTCATGGCCTTTATATCTATATACCCTCTCACTTAGTATTTAACATAAGTGCATACACATATTAACATCACAACTTATTTCTAATCAGCTATAGACTTATACTTCAACACTCCCCTTTAAGTCTAAAGCTGATATGACTCCTAGCTTGTCTCTGAGATAGTTAAACCTTTCTTTTGGTAAAGCTTTGCTAAAGATGTCTGCTACTTGCTCTTTGGTAGGACAATAGATCAAATCGACTATTCCTTGCTACAGAGCATCTTTGATGAAATGGTACCTCCTATCGATGTTTTTGTCCGCTGATGGAACATTGGATTCTTAGTGATTGAAATTGCAGATGTATTGTCATACTGCAGAGGAGTTGCTTCTGTTTGTAGCTCTCCAAAATCCTCCAAGACAAATCTGAGCCAAATAGCCTGAGCTGTGGCTTCAGAGGCACTAATGTACTCTGCTTCTGCAGTGGAAAGAGCAACACAGCTTTGCTTACTCCACGTCCAAAGGAAAAAGCATAGCCTGAGGTGCTTTTGCTGTCTTCAGTTGATCCTCCCCAATCACTATCACAAAATCCAACCAAAACTGCCTTCCTGCCTTTCTCATACTTCAAACCATAATCCAGTGTCCCTTTGACATATCTGAGCACTCTCTTGGCTGTTCCATAATGCTTATTTGTAGGACAATGCATATATCTAGCTAGTAAACTAGCTCCATACATCACATCCGGCCTTGTAGCAGTAAGGTACAACAAACTCCCCACAATCTTTCTATATTGCTCTTCATTTGCTGCACCACTTCCATCATCTTTGCTTAACTTTTCAGTAGCAACAATGGGGTATGGAAACAGATTTGCACTCCTATAAGCCAAATTTATCCAACAAAGAAGAAGCATACTTCCTTGGATGAATGAAAATACTTGTGTCAGATTGTAGCACTCCCATTCCTAGAAAATGATGGAGGAGCCCGAGGTCTGTCATTTCATATTTCACCTTCATGTCTTCTTTGAACTCATTCAACATTTCCTGATTGCTTCCAGTATATACTATGTCATCAACATAGATAGAAACAATTAAGATATCCTCATCTCCCATTGTCTTAGTATAAATAGTTGCTTCACTCAAACTTTTTATAAATCCACACTTAGTGAAGTAGTTGTCAATTTCCCCATACCAAGCTCTAGGTGCCTGTTTTAACCCATAAAGAGCCTTATGCAGTCTGTAGACTTTGTCCTCCTTTCCATCAATTACAAATCCCTCAGGTTGTTCAACATATACTTCTTCCTGCAATTTTCCATTCAAAAATGCAGATTTAACATCTAGTTGATATAACTTCCAGCTTCTTTGTGCGGCAAGAGCAATCAAGGTTCTGATTATGTCCAATCTAGCAACCGGAGCAAAAGTTTCATTGTAATCGATTCCTGGTTTCTGCACATACCCCTTGGCAACCAGTCTTGCCTTGTTTTTTTGTACTGAGCCATCCATATTCAACTTGGTTTTGAGCACCCATTTCACTCCAATGACATGTTTATCACTTGGTCTATCTACAAGATCCCAAGTTTTATTCTTCTCAATCATTGACAATTCTTCTTCCATTGCTTTTACCCAAACATTGTCTTGTGCAGCTTCTTCACATTTCTCAGGTTCCACAATACAAAGGTTGCACTTTGCCATAATGTCATTTATGCTTCTCCATTTCACTGGAGTATGATCATAAGGCTGAGAGATCTTTACAGATTCATGAGTGCTGCTTTCTTATTCTTCAGTATGAGAAGGAATAGAGGAACTTGAGGCACTACCTTCAAACTCACTCAATTCATGTGAATTCTGAATGTAGGTTACAACAGCAGGATTCTCTGAATTTTCCTTCCAATTCCAGGTCATAGTTTCATCAAACAACACATCTTTTGACAAGATTAACTTCTTAGTGCATGGATCAAACACTCTGTATCCCTTCTCACATTTAGCATATCTAACAAACACACATTTGACACTCTTAGCATCTAGCTTCTGTCTTATCTTAGATGGTATATGCACATAACAGATTGATCCAAACACTTTTAGATGACCAATTCTTGGTTTTCTACCACTGTAGGCCTCAAATGGTGTTAGATTATCAAGTGCTTTTGTAGGTGATCTGTTTAGAATGTACACTGCTGTGCGTACTGCCTCTGCCCACAGAAAGTATGGCAAGCTTTTATCATGAAGCATTGCTTTGGCC